GCCGCTCTGTCGGAGGGTCAGTGCTGAGGGAGCGCCGCTCTGTCAGAGGGTCAGTGCTGAGGGAGAGGGCACTGTCGGAGGGTCAGTGCTGAGGGACCGCTGCTCTGTCGGAGGGTGAGTGCTGAGGGAGCACCGCACCGTCGGTGGGTCAGTGCTGAGGCAGCACCGCGCTGTGAGAGGGTCAGTGCTGATGGAACGCCGCTCTGTCGGAGGGTAAGTGCTGAGGGAGTGGTCACTGTTGGAGGGTCAGTGATGAGGGAGTGCCACACTGTCGGAGAGTCAGTGCTGAGGGAGCGGCGATCTGTCGGAGGGTCAATGCTTAGGGAGCGCCGCGCTGTTGGAGAGTCAATGCTGAGGGAGCGCCTATCTGTTGGAGGGTCAGTGCTGCGGGAGCGCCGCTGTGTCGGAAGGTCAGTGCTGAGGGAGCGCCGCTCTGTGGGAGGGTCAGTGCTGAGGGAGCGCCATTTTGTCAGAGGGTCAGTGCTGAGGGAGTGCCGCTCTGTCGCAGAGTCAGTGCCAACGCAGCGCCGCACTGTCGGAGGGTCAGTGCTGAGGGAGTGCCGCACTGTCAGAGGGTCAGTGCTGAGGGAGGACCGCTCTGTCGGAGGGTCAGTGCTGAGGGAGGGGCGATCTGTCGGAGGGTCAATGCTGAGGGAGTGCCTATCTGTTGGAGGGTCAGTGCTGAGGCAGCACCGCACTGTGGGAGGGTCAGTGCTGAGGGAGTGCTACACTGTCAGAGGTTCAGTGCTGAGGGAGCGCCGCTCTGTTGGAGGGTCAGTGCTGAGGGAGCGCCATTTTGTCAGAGGGTCAGCGCTGAGGGAGTGGGCACTGTCGGAGGGTCAGTCCTGAGGGAGCGCCACATTGTCAGAGGGTCAATGCTGAGGGAGTGGGCACTGTTGGTTGGTCAGTACTGAGGGAGCCCGCACTGTCAGAGTGTCAGTGCTGAGGGAGCCCCGCACTGTCGGAGGGTCAGTGCTGAGGGAGCGCCGCACTGTTGGAGGGTCAGTGCTGAGGGAGTGCCGCACTGTCGTAAGGTCAGCGCTGAGGGAGCGCCGCACTGTCGGAGGGTCAGTGCTGATGGAGCGCTGCATTGTCAGAGGGTCAGTTCTGAGGGAGCACCACGCTGTCGGAGGGTCAGTGCTGAGGGACCGCCGCTCTGTCGGAGGGTCAGTGCTGAGGGAGTGCCGCTGTGTCGGAGGATCAGTAGTGAGGGACTGCTGCACGATCGGAGGGTCAGTGCTGAGGGAGGGATGCACTGTCAGACCGTCAGTACTTGTGGAGTGGTCTACTATTGAAAGGTCAGTGCTGTCGGACTGTCACACTTTCAGAAGGTCAGTACTAAGTGAGTGCACACTTTCAGAGCTGCCGTTATTTGTGTGATATGTCGAATTAGCTATGTGCCTCGTCATCATTTCCATGTTGATATAATTAATAACTGGAATAGTGTTCTTCGATGAGTTTCTCCAGACATGTGTGGAGTTTTCATTTTCCTGACGAGCTGACTCATGAAATCACTAGTTTGAAATGCCACTGGATCGACAGAAAAAAGGGTCTTTTTCAGGAAATATCACTTTGACTGTTGTTGTGCAGCTGGTGGCATTGAAGGCAATTTCAAAATAGTGATTTGGATGTGCCTGTCAGTGATGGGGTTAAATTGAAAAAAATGACAAGTTGACTCTGATCGATTATTTCAGAGAATCTGTCTCCTCTCCACCTATCTTCTCCTTTATCTATCTTCTGTCCGCCCTCCCCCTCTCTCCCTATTTATTTCAGAAACCCCTTCCCCTCCCCCATTTCTGAAGAAGGGTCTAGACCCGAAACGTCAGCTTTCCTGCTCCTCTCATGCTGCTTGGCCAGCTCTACACCTTATTATCTCTGATTATTTATTTGTCAACCAATCAGCCCCGTTTTTTCCCTATGAAATTTGCTGTTCTTGAGTGTGCCCTGATGAGTGTGAGATGAAGAGTTCCAACAAAATGTCTCTCTTTTCCGCCATACAAAATATAGGGCTTTGCATTGGTCTGTGTCAAACTGCATTTGCAGTAATTTCACCCCATGGAGATGATTAATGGACTCAAAGAAGGTTTCGATTTTAATTTTAAAGAGCATAAGTTTGCCTCGCGAGCTGAGTTTCCTTTTCACCAACACTATGACTGACCACAAACAGAAACGTGCCAATCTGAGGAACATGTGACAGTGTTCACTGGGGAATCTACATGTTTGTGAATGAGGGAGGAAAGTTTGATAAGTCATTGATAAGTCAAGATCACAAATAATAGGCATCCTGAGGAAGAGTCATATTAGAAATGAAATGTTAATCCTGTTTCTCTTTCCACAGATAAGCCTGGACCCGCTGAGTTTCTTCAGTACTTTCTGCTTATATTTAATAAGGAATATGAGCAGGAGTAGGCCATTTAGCCCCTCCAGCCTGATCCACTAGTTAATAAGTTGATCTGATTGTGAACTGAACTCCATTTTCCTGCCTGCCCCTTTTAATGTCTTTATTTCCTTGTCAATAAGAAGTCTCCTCTCAGCATTCAATATATCAAATGACTCATCTGCCCCCATTTTCAGGTGAGGAGATTTCCAAACATTCAAAATTCATCCTCATTTCAGTTTTAAATGGCATCTTCACTCCTTCCACCACTGATGGTCGTTAGCAACAGTGTGTACTATCTGCAAGATGCAAGTTCCCCTCCAAACCGCTTAGCCCCAAGCTGTTTCACACTCACTCTCTGTTTCTCTCTCTCTCTCTCTCTCTCTCTGTGTGATGGAATGAATCTGCTGAAGACTCTTTGGAAGTTATTACTCTCACATTGACAATATTGACTGTTAGGAATTGCTTTGGATCCTCAATTTCTAAGGGATTTTTTAGGTCTTCATTGTCTGAGGACGTATTTGGAACTCCATTGTCTAAGAGAACTATTTGAATCATCATTGTCTTTGCATCATTATTGCTTAAGAGATCCCTTTGGATTCCCTTTGTCTGAGGGATTTATTTTTCAGTTTATTTTTCAGTTCCACACTGACTAAGTGGTCTCTTTGGATCTTCAGTGTTTAAGGGATTGTATCTGTTCCAAACCTCACACTGCTGTATCGGTGATTCTGATGCAGTGTTGGAGACTGACTTGTCCCCAAGCTCAGCATCAACCCTACTCCAGCAGACACTATGAAACACTCAAGCAAAGTGCCTCTAGTCTGAGCTCCTCATGTGATGGAGTTTCTTCTGTGATAGGTGCACGGCTTTCACAGATGGTCTCACAGTCTTCGTCGTTCAAACAGAACTTGGCCCCACACACAAGGCTGATACCAGAAGCCAATTGTTTCCTGTCCATCTGGAACAACTACTACTTCATCAGGAAACTGAACTATTGCTGGGAAGGAACTTAAATCATTGGATTGCAGAATTGTACATCGCTGATGAAGACCATTCCATCCATTCTGCCTGGGTCAGCTCTTTGAAAGATCTCTTGAATTAGTCCCCATGACCCCCTCTTTTCCTCACAGCCATGAAAATGTTTCCCTTTGCAATATTCCTCCAATTCCTGCTTTTCAAATTTCCTCTGCAATCTGATTCCACTGCCCTCTCAGGCAGCAATGAATTGATCTCCTCTGGAGCTGCAATGTTCTCAGAGTCTGCGTAATTTACAGAGTGCAACAGATCATAGACAATCAGGCTGTCTCTTTTCTTGTCTGTCCTAGAGTTGCTGTGGGATATTTGGATTAAAATCAGGAAAAGACATAAACTTCAGGCCACTACTATCAGAGTCCTGGTGTCTAGATCTACATCACCATCCAGTTTTTATCCAGACTTCTGAAATGTCCCTGTCATCCCACAGTCACTGACCTACCTTAGTACCTTGTCTGTCAACACCTTGGTTTTATGATTCTCTCCATCTGTTTCCAAACTCTCCAATCTCCCTCTCTCTACCTATGCAATCTCCACCACTCTTGAACCCTCCAAGATCTCTTAGCTCCTCCACTGCTGTTGTGAGACTGGGAGCCAGTGTATGTCAGTGAGCACAGGGTTGTTGGGTGAACCGGACATGGTGTGAGTTTGTACACTGGTTCACTGCTGAATTAGTTCCTAATCATAGCTCAATAAAAATGATCTTTTAAAAAACTATTAACCATAAATCTGTCCGAGCTGACAATGACATTACCTTGAAGAAGTAATAGCAGGAAGTAAGATTTCCCAATCATTGTCCGCTCCTAAATATTTCGTCAGCTTCTGAAAGAGAAAGGAGTTAATCAGACCTCACCTTTTTCCGACAGCTCTTGAGAGATCAGAACTGCTTTGAGACATTGCCCTCACAGACTTGAGCCGTATTCTCATATTTTACTTGTAAGTAGAAATGTGTCAAAGACATCGATCGTTGGAATCTGATTTTAAAATTAAGACCACAAGAATTAGGAACAGGAGCAGGCTATTTGCCCCCTCAAGCCTGCTCCATAATTCAATTCAATCATGGCTGATCCAATATTTCTCACAACCACTTTCCTGCGTTTTGTCCATTACCCATGATCCTTCTAATGATCAAGAATGTATTTCAGCCTTGAATATACAAAAGGACTCTGCCCCCACAACTGTCTCTGGCAAAGGGTTCCAAAGACTCACAACCCCCTGAGAAAAGAAATTCCTTCTTATCAGAGTTTAAGTTTGTGCCCCTTTATTCTGAGACTGTGTCCTCTGTCCCAGACTGTCGGATGAGGTGAAACATACACTCAGAATTTACCCTGTCAAGCCCTTTAAGAATCCTATACATTTCAATCAGATCAACTCTCATTCTTCTAAATTCAAGTGAGCACAGTCCCAACCTGTTTAGTCATTGCTCAGAGTACAGTCCCTCCACACTGGGAATCTTCCTGGTGAATTTGCCTCCAAAGAAATGTTACCTTTAAAAACTGACAACATTAACAAAGGATGATATTGGTCATGGAAGTGAATTCTAATCGTTATGTTACTTACCCAGGACCGGCCTGACAGTTTGCCTGGGGAGTAAGTGCTGAGATGCTCTGCTTGGGCTGAATGCCACTTTCCTCTGCTGTGTTTTTAATTAGAAAGTGCTGACACACCAGGTCAAAATGAGGAAGTAGGATACCAGTGATAACTTCCATGATAGTTTGCAGTATAAGCAAATTGTTGACAATCTGACCCAAGCTCAGAACTGGGCAGTTGTTCACATGGAGTATCTAACCTGGCCCCGAGGTGGAAATTCAATTGCTACAGTCCCCAGTTCAGAATCTGAATGCCATGATCCATATAATATCCTTTTACAATATCCTTTTATTGTCATGCGTATTCCACTGTAAGACTTTTACAATGTCTGTGTTTTTATGGCGCTATCTTAAGTACAAGTACCTAAGTACAATTCTTGGATACAGCAGAGAAATAGAAGCAGTTGTTTAATTACAGAGTTGAAAATAAATTAAAAATAGAAGAACATTAAGGGTTAACATTACAGTATTCTAAGGTAAGTTCTAAGGTAAGGATTGTCCCCTCACAGCGGTCTCCATCCAGGACTCACTGCCTACACGTTGCTCCGAGGCTGCTTCCATGTACTGCTGTAGAGCTTCTCCCCCGCGCTGCTCCAGGGCTCATTGCTCATGGTGTGCTGGGGTTCACAGGGCGTGCCTGCAGACCCCCAGAGCACAAGGCCACGCTGCCCGTGCTGGTTCCGCTGTGGGACTCGGCCTGCGACCGCTTCAGTCTGCCACAGGACTCGGCTCATGCCCAGTTTGCAACTCCACTCTCCAGGGGGTGGGGGGAGAAAGGGACAACCACAAAGAGGAGAGGGATAAAAAAGGGAAAAAAAGGCAAAGAGACAGCAAGCAGAGGAGCTCCGACTGGAGCATCCCACACTACTGCATCTTGCCACATAACAAGTTATAAGATCCAAGTTGACAATCCACACAGGCTATTTGAATATCTATTCACAAGTTTTATGAGCATCACTGCCTGCCCATAATTGTTCCTGTGAAGCTGCTGACCATCTGCTATAGGTCGACCTACAATGCTGTTGGAGAGGAAGTTCCAGGATTTCAACAGTGACACTTAAAGAACAGTGATTTATTTCCAACTCAAAACGGAGAATGACCTAAGACCATAAGAAATAGGAACAGGAATAGGCCATTTGGCCCCTTGAGCCTGCTGCACTCTTCAAAAAGAACATGGCTGATCACACATTCCTCAGAACCACTTTATTGCCATTTCCCCAAGTGACTTGGTGGGGAACATGCAGGGGATGATGTTCCCATGTATCTGTTGTCCTGGTCCTTCCAGGTGGAAGTGGTCATGGGTTTGGGTGATGCTGTCTAAGGAGCATTGGTGCAGAGCTGAGGGGGTGTGAACCAAACAGTGGAAACATTATAATTTTGGAGGGTCAGTACTAAGAGAATGTCGCACTGCCGGAGGGTCAGTACTGAGGGAGTACCACATTGTCGGACGGTCGGTAATGAGTTAGTGCTGCACTGTCGGAGGGTCAGTACTGAGTTAGTGCTGCACTGTCAGAGGGTCAGTGCTGAGGGATTACTGCATTGTTGGAGGGTCAGCACAGGGTATACCACACTGTTGGAGGATCAGTATTGAGGGAGTGCTGCACTGTTGGAGGATAACATGACAATTGTGTTATGAATATAAAACAAATTTATCTGCTTTTCCAAAAAGCTTTTCAGCATGTTCATGGACACATGCCAACTGAATGCTATAATCTAATAAGGGGCCAGCAATTTTTGTTTTACAGGAGACAAAGGGTGATATCCAGCAGTCTTAAGACACGAATAAAATACAACACACCATCATCTTAGACAAGTAACAATAAAGTTTACTTTGCAACATTTGAGAAATAGTACGATGAACAATACCTGTATAACATGAATTCTAACTGTATATTAAAAAGATATGATAATCAAGTCATAAATGTGATCATGACGCACATGTTTCTGAATTTATGCTCACAGACTGGATAGATATGTTGGATAAAATACATCTGATTTATCTTAAAAGAGTTTGCAATTCTTCACTTTTGCCAACCTTACCTTGAAATGTTCTACAGAGACATTGCATCATGCTGTACCTCAATGAATGTTTCCATTTGAATCGAGTACCCTAACTTTCTGGGTCTTTCTTCAGAGTTAATCTATAAATGATACTGCTGTGCTGCTTCACAAGTACAAATCAGCTATTTTTCTCCTTGACAGCGGGCTGCATCAAAATCCTCCCCACCGAGGATTTTCCCTGAACTCTTTTCTTGCTCAGTTGCATCAAGAAAATGATCCTTATGCTTTCTCACCCACACTCTCTTGCACTGAACTATGAGTAGCACAGATTCCCTCTGATCTCCTAGAGCTTGATTAGGTTGTCAGGAACCCCATCAACATCATTCAACTGCCAGACAACTCCCCAAACTTCTTGCCTGAGTTCTAACAACTGTGATACCCAGCTGCCTTTGGGCCTTCTTACTGTGTTCCATACTCAGGCATTCAATAGTTCATTTGTCATCCCGGACATACAACTAAATACAACTCATTGTGATGGACTCAATAACTTCCAGCCTCACTGCCTTCCATCTCTAAACTCCCTTTCCAAGACCTGTCCTGATCAGACCAGACAAAAACTTGCAATTAGACCAGCTCCCATTTCTGGGCAAAACGACACATAACTGATGTTTTGGGACAGCCCAAAGTAACAATCACTTGGGACTGACTCTACCCTGAATGCTATATTCCTACAGAATGCTGACCTCCACAGCTCATAGCATGAATGCTAAAAATAAATATTCAGCACAACATGCTCAGCCAATTTCAAATTTATCACTTTAATATTTTAACATCTGATTCCTGGTGTCATGACCTCCTCATGCAATCACTTTAACATTTCAATGGCTACTTCATCATTTTTTTTTCATTGCTAACATGTGATCATCAATGAGAGGAACAACATTGCTCGTCCATTCAGAGTTGCTCATGAGATGATATTAGTGAACAAGCTTCTTTAACCAGTGCAGTCTGTGTAGGGTGGATACTATTTTCAATATCTGGACAAACAACACCCACTTTCCCTCCATTCCCCTCAAATTTCCCATCGTTCCCTGTGCCCTATTACACTGCTTGTATATTAGTGTGTTTGTGCCTGTTTATGCACATACACATTTCAGAATTTGGAAATCTGTTTAACACTTTATTTTTTTAAGCTCAAATAAAGCCAGTGCTGTCATTCGGATAAACTCAAGGAGATCTGTGTGGCATGTGCTTCAAGACTTTAATGCCTATTGAAGTGCAAATGGAATTGGCCTTTAAATGCCTTTAATAAAAAATGCAAACTCTGTTTTGTGATCAGAGAAATTTTCTCATTCCTGCAGATTTGGGAGTAACAGTATTCCCCATTACAAGTGCTCCTATGTTTCAAGAGGTATCAAGCAGAATAGGTAAAGGTGAAACACTGGATGGAATATATTTAGATTTTCAGAAGGCACATAGCAAAATATCACATATTCAGCTACTTAAAAAGGTAAGAGTCTATGTGTTGGAAGTTGAACATGAACATGGATAGAGGTTTAGCCAACAAATAGAAGACAAAAGGTTGGAATAATGGGTGCATTTTCAGGATGACAACCTACAATGACTAGTATTTGACAAGGGTCCATGCTGAAGACATAATTTTTGATAGCGTATATTAATGACATGGATGAGGAAAGTGAAAATATATGAACAGAGATATTTTCTGTTTCAACAAAGCAGTTTTCTCACTCCTGCAGATTTTGTTGTACCAATATTCCTCCATGACAAATTCTATTTCTTTACAGAACGGCTGGTTGATTTCAATCATCTGTTTTCTCACTTAGGATCATTAACCACCATTTCTGCCACCTCCAGTGAGATGTCACCACCAAACGCATATTCCTGTCCCCTCCCTTGTCAACCTCCTGCAGGGACTTTTCCCTTTGGGACACCCTGGTCCACTCTTCTTTCACTCCCAACACCTCGCCACAGCCTCACAGCACCTTCCCCTGCAACTGCTGAAGTTTTAACACCTATTTGTTTACTTCCTCCCTCAGTATCCAAAGGTCCAAACTCACCTTCCAGTTGAAGCAGCGCTTTACCCTGTACTTCACATGATCTAGTCTACTGCATTCACTGCTCACAATGTCTCCTTTACGTTGGGGAAACAAAGCATAGACTGGGTGACTGCTTTGCAGAACACTTGTATTCTGTTTGTCAAGAAAGATCCTGAACTTCCAGTTGCTTGCCACTTCAACATAACACCCTGTTCCCTGGCCAACACCTCTGTCTCGGGCTTGCTCAGTGTTCCAGCGAAGCTCAGCACAGGCTGGAAGAACAGCACCTCATTTTCCACCTGAGGACCCTGCAACCTTCTGGACTCAATATTGATTGCAATAACTTTAGGGCTTGAGCACTCCATGTCCTTACCCCAACCCCAACAACCAGGCCTTGTTATCACATAGTCTGCCATTACACACTACCCATTGTGAACTACTAACAGTCCCCATTAACAGCTATTCACCCTCCTAGCCAGATTATTATCTACTCCCTTGACTGTCTAACTGTTCTTCTCTCTCTTTGGGCTGTATCCCCCCCTATTGTTTATTCCGTAGCCCCTTCCACCATCCTATCTTCTGCATATAAACTGACATTTTCCTAGCGAACATTGGTTCTGAGGAAGGGTCACTGAACCCGAAATGTTAACTGATTTCTCTCCACAGATGCTGCCAGACCTGCTCAGCTTTTCCAGTAATTTCTATTTTTGTCTCTTGTTCTCACTTACTTGCAAAATTTCTCATTATGTCCTTGTTATATTTTTGTCGAGTTTACTGACATAGTGCAAAGTAGCATTTTCTATCAATGTGTTCCCACTGTACACCTCTCAAGGTCTTCAACTTCTTGGACTATCCAAGTGAAAATGTGAAGCAGGCTTGAGAGAAATGGGGGAGCTGTTTTGCTCTGAAACACTGATGAATTCATTCGTCTAACACGGGGATGATGATAGAAAATTGTGTGCATCTTTTGCAATACAATA